CAAAAATATGTTGGTTATGGAATGTGCTTGCAGGTGATGTGATGGGAAGTGATATAATCATGTGATAATAGGCAATCTGAATCTGTGTAAGGGACTGAATCTGAATTGTCTAGGCTCTGTGTTCGATGTGCTGGTAGGCACGAGAGATTAAAATGGACTTGACTAGGAATTAATGAACTTAAGTTATCTAGAGACTTGGAAAATCTTGACCTAGATAGGTCCATTTAGCCTGACAATACGAAGCTCAGATAGGTTGAGCAGGGAGATATACATGATAATCCACCGGTCACATTAAAGTAATCTGTATCTAGAACTGTGGTTTAACTCTTCCTCGATGTACGAACTCTTTCCTTAATTCCGGTATTGATGGGGGCGACTAGGGAATTCCGATAAAGTCGGTCTGTAGGAAATTATTTTCTTGCTTTCTTTCTGTTAGTCATATGTTGCCTCCTCTGCGTGATTGAAATACATCCGACCTGTACTGCAACATATGCAACTCTATTTCTATGCATCTTCTATCTATGCAATTCTTCCTGCCTGTTAGCCATATGCTGTCTCCTTTGCGTGATTAACCATCCGACCTGGTACACAGCATATGCACCATTCTACTTCTCAATCCATCTAAACTCTAGTTAGTCATATGCTTCACTCTCTGCGTGATTGGAAGAGATCCGACCTGAGTGTATAACATATGCATTCTAAATCACCTAAAGTAAGGAGTACTTTGGAAGTTCCTGATTATTAGGGTATGTCAGGAAGCGGGAAACATATTCTAGTACATTTAAAATTAAACAATCACTAGGTTGTCTGTAGATCTCACTGCTCAATTTAGGTGGACAACAATATCTTTGGTCGTCGTCAGCTGAATGGTCCTTAAGGAATATTATCTAGGAACATAGGATCACATTGTCTTGTCACTTATAGTATGTCCTAATTTTGTCACAATCTTTCGTGTTTAAGTGGACCACAATACCGGTGATTGACCAGATCTATTCATGAAGGGAGAGGTACTGATAAACGGATAAAGGCTGTCTAAAAACTTTGATCCCAAATCACTCTTAAAGTTAGATATCATTTTTATTTTTGTTAAATTTGTTCATAGTTTTCTTCTAATTTAAATATCAGGGGAGAATTAAAAATTTTAAAAAACCAAACAAAAATCAGAAAATTAAAAATCCAAAAATAGTGTTATTTATGTTTTTATTTTTTGTTCAAGAAAATCAAAAATCCAAAAATATTTTCTTTTAGTTTTGTTTTGTCTTGAAAATATGAAAAATCCAAAAATATCGTGTGCTAAGTTTTCTTTTAGTTTTGTTTTGTCTTGAAAAGTGAATTCAGATGTAGATGAGACTCGTGGAGACTGTATCGAGATTTCAGAGCCAAGGCTTCATCCGTGAGCATCGAAGAATTCTCATTCGAAGGAGCAAGAAATGAAGATTATTCTTTCAACATTCAATCCTTCAACCCCAGAAGCAAGTTCAAGCTGTAATTGAAGATTATGTGACAGATTGCATTGAATCCTTCTCAATCAATTTGCTGCTATCTTGTACCTGCTCAAGTGATCCAGAAGATTAGTTCTCTCTGATGGTTTCTCTGAAGTTTCTCAAACTGAAAGCGCTACCTTTCAAGATTCTTATCAAGAAGCCTCCTCACCCAATGTGCGTTCAATGTCAAATTCTGCAGAAAAGCCCAACTGCTCAAGATGAAGTCATTCATTGAAGATTCATCAAGTTCATCTTGAAGCTGTGAAGAATTTGAAGATTAAAGCTGAAGCCAAGCTCCCAATGAAGATTGACAAGAAAAGACCGCTACTTTTTAGGGGGGGGGGGGGGGCTTGTTGGGTCAATTAGAAAACAAAGCTATAAACCAAGGGGGAGATTGTTGGGTCTAAATTATGGTTTATACTTTACTTTTCTAGGAAAATATTTTTTTTGTGTCTTGGACCGTAAACAGCTTGGTTTTTACGGCCGTATACGTGTTTACGGTTGTGTTTACGGCCGTGAACAGGTTTACGGCCGTAAACCCATTCACGGCCCATGTCTACTATATATAGGATGAGGAGTGCATAATAGAAGAGAAATAGTAAAGTGGAGAGCTTAAGTGTGTGAAACCCAAGGTGTTCTATAGAGAGAAACTAGAGAGAAGTTTTGTGTGTGTGAATCTCTTTTATCTGGATGTGCATTCTAATCAATTCATACATAGATTCATCATATTCTTCTTCTTCTTCTCTTCTATTTTATCTGACATCATCCGTTTGATTGGGATTCTGCACCATCAAACGGATCTGATTGATATACAAGTAGATTGGGGACTTACAGGAATCCAGCGGTTCAGGTGCTCTCAGTTCATGAAGAGAATACTCAAACAATTATCTTCAAAGAAAACACAACAATAATAGAAGTTCTACGTAATCCATCTGCTGCTAGGACGACTCTTCTGGCATGGTTTGAAAGCAATGCAACAGACCCAACAGGTCATGAGTACACATATATTGAGTACCCAAAATACTACAAATGGGATGCTCCTTCCAAATCGTGGGTTAGGAGAGCAGACGATTCATCTAACATGGTTGGTCGCCTTGAATTTGTTCATCCATCTTCTGGTGAATTGTTCTACCTACGATTGTTGTTGTGTCACCGAAAGGGTTCCACCTCTTTTGAAGATCTGCGTACAGCATCTGGTTACGTTCACCCCACATACAGATCTGCATGTAATGCGCTTGGAATTATAGGGGATGACACCGAGTGGCTTGTTGCGTTCGATGAAGCTTCTATATGGGCAACAACATTGCAGCTCCGTGTTCTTTTTTGCAATTTTTTATTATTTTGTGAAGTTACTGATCCAAAGGTTTTGTGGGAAAAAGCTTATGAAAAGATGTCAGATGACTACATTTATAGATTAAAATCAACATTACCAGATAAGACTTTCTATTCAGCAGATGATGTGGTTCGTCAGCAATTACTTCATGACTTAGAACACATCCTCTCTTCTTCTGTTCCCTCCAGGTCACTTGCCGATTTCAATTTACCGATGCCATCATTTGTTATGCTTACAACCCTCCAGAATCGGCTCCTCCTGGAAGAGATGAGTTATGACAAAAGGGTGTTGGCTGATCATCATGCTCAGTTGCTTCCACAACTAAATACCCAGCAGATGTCAATCTACGAAAATGTTGTCTCCTCTATTGAAGCTAACAAACAGATTCTCATGTTTGTTTATGGTCATGGGGGTACTGGAAAGACATTACTTTGGACAACCATTATGTCATATTTTCGATCGATTGGAAAGGTTGTCCTTGCAGTTGCTGCATCTGGAATAGCATCCTTACTTTTGCCTTCTGGAATTACAACACATTCGAGGTTTAAGATACCGATTGATCTGAACACCAAAAGATCATGTGATATAAAAAAAGGACATCACTAGGAGATCTTATGCAGCATAAATCGCTCATCATATGGGATGAAGCCCCAATGAGTGATACGAGACGCTTTGAGTATCTTGATAGATCTTTACGACATGTGCTTGGCTCTGACGACAAGCCATTTGGTGGTATTTCAATTCTTCTCGGTGGCGATTTTCGACAAACACTCCCCGTTTTGCCAAAAGCCACACGATCTCAAATCATAGATCTTACCTTGCCAAATTCATACTTATGGACCCTTTTCCAGCTTCAGATCTTGACTCGGAACATGAGGCTTCTTTCTACCGAGAACAACAACGCGCACACAATGTCAACAACTTTTTTTGCTGAATGGCTACTTCAGATTGGCAAAGGCACACTTGGACGGCCTGATCCGGAAGATCCACGAGACACATCTTGGATTCAGATCCCTCATTCGTTGCTGATACCTCCAACACATGACTCACTACAGCACCTCATATATTTTGTATATGGAACGAAAATACTTAATGCTCCCACTGCAACCGACCTATCAGCTCGAGCAATTGTTTGTCCAACTAACGAAGCCGCTGACAATATCAACAGTATGATTATGAAATCAGTTAATGCATACAGCAGGATATATAGAAGTACGGACGCGATGGAACCGAATGGAAAGCACACATCAGATTTAGAAGGTCTGTACCCTATAGAGTACCTAAATCAATTGACCTTCCCAGGAATACCACCACACGCATTGGAACTAAAGCTAAACACACCTATAATGCTGTTGCGGAATATCAGGCAACGAGATGGCTTATGTAATGGAACCGGACTTATTGTGACACAGCTGTTGCCAGCAGTAATCGAAGTGACTATAATTACAGGGGCATGCGTTGGACAACGAGTCTATATTCCTCGCATAAAATTCATCAATAGGCCATTGGATTTACCGGTCTCCTTTTCGCGGAAACAGTTCCCTGTTAAATTATGCTATGCAATGACGATCAACAAAAGTCAAGGGCAGTCTCTAAAAAGAATCGGTGTTTACCTATCTCAACCGGTTTTTTCACATGGATAGTTGTATGTAGCGCTTTCTAGAGCAACTTCCCCAGGTTCATTAAGATGCTTATAGAAAGAAATGATGCCATGCCATACAACGAGACAAAAAATGTTGTCTATAGAGATTTATTATGAAAAGTCAGCGCAAATGAGGTGTATCACATCATCACCACATACTGTCATTCCATACATGTCCATGCTATCTATATTCATCCAATAATAGATGCTAATAAATATTCATATCTATTACACATATATACTGGATTACACAACAATTTTTTATTCTTTAGATAACCTCATTATATCCATTTGAAATGCATACTTACTAACACATTTGATCTCCTATCAGAAACCAACAGTGAACAATGACCAGTATATCTGAATTGAAGCGTGATGGGATTGGGAGTCCAATATAACTGAGAATCATTCGGAAATGGAAACATGACGTGCGTCGATACGAAACCTGGTTTCTTGGTGTTAACAGATTTGTAAGTTAATGAAAAACAATAACCGCAATCCAATATGTGTATGGATGTCACACATATGAATCACTAACAGTATGAACCATATCATCCCTTTTCCACAGGGAGATGCAATACAGATCCTAGGACATCATACGAATCAGGCATATATAGAATCGGTATTGAACGTTTTGGATTGTTACACATTATCAGAATACAACTGTCCTGAATTAGACAAACATCAAAAAGTTTTGGAGAACGATTTCTACATAGACGTTGGGCTTAGCTCTGTTATAAAACCACTTGCAAATACAATGACTATTCCAACTACTTGGTTTCGTTTTGCTTCTAAATCACAGCTAGCAGAACTTGGAGAACATCCACCATACTTTCCAGGTACCAATATAATGTACTTAGCCCTTTTCGCTCATATAACCTAAACATCTATGCATGGTCCTCTGTAGATTCTATTGGGATGCTATCTAAGATCAGAGACTGCACAAAAACTTATGGTCAACCGTATGTTCTTCTTATTCTAACTGATGACAGGTACAACTTATAGCAACTAACATCCGTTCCTAACAAAGTCATATTATGAATCCTAACAGAATAATCTGTGAAACTTACAGTGGCAATGAAATCCGGATAAATATTTGGAAAGAATGCATTACGAATCCCACAAAATTCAATCGCAGTCTACTCACTCCATCTCCCGCTATGACAGTAGTGGCGGTTACAAATTTAAAACCTTCTGTTTCTGCAGGTCAGATATGTTTGCTGTATATAACATAGACACAATATCACACATGTCAATTATTGCAACTGAAATCCTTATTATAGGAACATTACGTCACGGATCATCACATGCTACCCATGTATATGTAAATCCACATATCCCAGAGACCACATCACTGATGAACCTGTACACCCTTGAAACCAAGTAAAATATAAAAATTTTACCCAAAAACAACAGTCACATCAAGTTGAAAAACATTGCAGGTACAGTGATCCACATCGGCCATCAACAAGACCTACAGGGATGCCAGCAAAGTTGAAGGATATCAAAGAAAAAACACGATTGGAGCTCCTGGTAAATCTACATAATTCTCAGCTAGAAGCTAACCACATATCTTTTATAAACACCCTGTATTAAATCAGTTTACCATCATCTACATACAGGACAAAACGTTTTTAGTCAGAGCATCTATTACAGACTTTGTATTTCAAGACAACTGGTACCAAATGACATGTCCAACCTGCAGAGATCCAATCTTCAGAAGAGGCCCACAATGGTACTGTAGTGCACACTCCAAGATTGAAAAGCCCATACTAGCGTACGTACCTGCCACCAATCATACAACATATTAATCTATTTGAAAAGATAATAACAAATAACATCTTCCTGTAGGCACAAGTTCAATGTCACAATAAACGATCCTACCGGCATAATATCAACAATCATATTTGACACATCATTTCGGAAACTTCTAGGCTCAAGCTTTGAGGATATACTATCTGAGAATATACCTATCAACAAAAAGAGTTTGCCAGAGGTCATCACTCAGCAAAAAGGAAACCCAAAAACAATGTCCATCCAACTGCTAAGAACATCGAGTGATGAAAATCGACGCTTCATCATAATTGACATAGAGATACCACAAATTGCCCCACAATCAGCAATTCCAGTAACTCCATCACAAACTCCAATCACTAGGTCCACAGCACAGCACAACCCCCCCCCCCCCATATCAAACATAACCACATAACAGATTGCACGGAGCCTATCCTTTACCACAAATGGTATATACACACAAATAAATACAAATATCAGCTTCATTAAATAATTGTTTATGATATTGTCATTTAACACTTTACAGATGACCCGTCACCTTCAGGAGATGTGAAACGCACCCGAATGAAATAAAGAAGCAGACACAGAGTCATACCCCGTTGCTTACTAATATGTTCCTCTTTTGCCATTGCTTACTAATATGTTCCTCTTTTGCTACCTATAAAACTGTGAACAAACAATATTGTTTTCATGTCTTAACCACACATCAGTGTGTGCTAACGGATTCACTTTTGAAGTTATATGTTTTTGTAATGAAATAGCATGTTGCTATGTATGTCTTTAAACAATGGAAGACTTTATTACTCTTCTGCATGTTTTAGAAATATCCAACAAACAAAAAACCTATTTCACATGGAATCAAAATGATAGAACCAAAATAAACAACAACATCAATGCAATACATACATTTCTATTTATATAGGTTTTTCACCCATATATAGTTTGATTTATTACACAGTATGACTTACACGCATGATCAAATCCCTGTCCATTACAAAACACTTAAACCAAAATAAATTTTGCTTTATATGGACCAATCAGCCCATTTAATATGACGACAGGCCAATAACACAGTTAAAAGAAACAAAAAATGGGGTCCACAAAAAAAAATTTTGTTGCCTATCGCCCACTAGGCCCAATCTCCATAACTTAAATTACATAATACACATTGTATAGATACATTGCCTTGCGCGATCCAATTGTTATCAATTTCTCCAAAACTAAATCATACATGTCCTAATGACTTGGCCAATTAACACAAAAGTTATTAATGAAATCGATTTCCCACACATCCTGAAAAATTAGTAACCCAATATTAACACCACTTCACCATTAAAACAATAATAAAAAATTGAATATATCAAATCTAATCACCGAAGATTTATCCTAAAATGAAATATTAATTACCAGATTAAACAGATGGTTTAATGGAAAACAATTCAAAATATTCCTGATAGTATTTCATTAGTATTATCCCTATTCTTTGATGTTTTTCGAAAAATCTAAGGGATAATCACCTCCATTTGTAGATAATAACGAATACGTCACCCCTAATTAGGCTTTGACCACTTACAGTGAACATATCTATAGCGATCGATTGCAGTCGACTTTCTATGTAAAAACTATCCGTCCCTTTCACTTCTGCTATGATGACTGCTTTAATTACGCCAACAAAAAACGTCAATAGCATTAACTAATGGCCTATAAATCCATAAACCATATTACACTTCTATACCACATCCACTTACACTACCAATCGGAAAACCAAACGACAAAAACAACACCCAAGAGAATGAAACCTGCAGAGATGGAAAGCATTATTCAAATGCTAATCGGTCAGGCAGAGGAGGAGGTCACCGCTCTAACAAACCTTCAGAGTGATTTCTTCTTCCACAAGGAGATGAAGAACGAAGTACTGGAAAACATGAGTCGCTGCCCTAAGTATACCAACTATCTCCAGATGAAAGACATTCTCACCAGCAGCACATACGATGCATCAAAAAGAATCCAAGCCATCTACAAGCTCCAGAAGGAGACCGAGGCCACCATTAACGACCTCTAAAAGCTACTGAAAAAGCTTCCAAAAGATGATCAGCCATACATGGACTGATCAGCAGTAAGGAAACACCCATCACTTTTGCTATTTTGTTGACCGTCATGTGGGTGAATAGATCCCTCTTTTGATTCTATGTTTATCATGTTTCCCCTGGTTTGAAGGTTGTAACTATCTTAAACAAATATAATCTATGTTTTATCTTTATTTTCTGCTTCCGATTCCATACAATCGTTACCGTTAACACTGTAATCCATTCACATATATACGCCAGTAACACATTACATAAAAAACACATAACTCCGTTTCTATAACATACAAGAAAAACAAATGAAACAGGACATGAACTATCATAACTTTTGATATTTTTCATATGGATTCTAATGACATACGGATTGGAAGGTAGCATAATTAAGAAAAGGTTATTTCTTGGCAAAAATACATCGCTTTCGCAACCTTTTGTAGGGCATAAAAAAGGAACTTTGAACTTAGATGCAAATGTTTTAACAAAACACATGTGGAAATAGTGTAGGAGAAACATGATAGACGAATTAGGAAATATTCTATGGTTTCATAAAAAACCATGGTCCATGACTGAACATGTATTATAGGTTACACTGTTTATCAATTTATAATCAACAAATGGGTCTTGTAACATTGATATAATGATCTATCCTCTTACAACGAAAAGAGCTTTAACAAAAGATATTGACATTTCTTTATTTATGTATAAAAGTAGTTAAACAAATACAATCCAGGTACAAAACCAAAACCAATACAATAATAAGGGACCATTTTTTGTACGAAAGGTGACCGCCTAACATTTACAAAGAACACACAGCAGAAAAAAAACGTCGCGTCCGACCCCCGCAACGCAGGGGTTCCCACCTAGTTAATATATTATAAGTTCTAATATATTAATATGAAATCATATTATTTAATTAGTATTGATCAAGAATTAATTTGGAATTCAAAAAGAGACTAATTAAATATATAAGGATTGGTTGTGTAAATCATTCATTCTTATAAAGTGGGCTAATGATCCATGATTCCTTATGTTGGGCTAAACCCATATGGTGACCCATGGATACTCCATGGAGGTTGAAACCCATGGATCATGAGGAATGCAGAAAGTCATGCACATTAGGGTTTCCATGGTGTAACCCTAATGTAGCCACGCTATATAAGAAGCCCTTTGGTTCATGAAATCGGGACCTAGAGTTCTTGTAAGTGTGCTAGCCGATTTTGAGTGCATATTATCTCCTCTCTAGTTCTTCCATTTGTTGGTGGTGATTTTTGATTCCACTTAAGGCATTCACATTATTGGTGTTGGGCTCTTAAAGCTTCAAGGTTTCAACTACACCAAAATGTATGTAATCTAACTAGAATTTTGTAGTATAGTTACTCCGTTATATGCTAGTTAGGATGATGCTTTGGAATTTTGAAAGTTTACATGCATATTAGAGAAAACATAGATCCAAAGCATCTAGGGTTGCATGTACACCATAGGAGTGTTAGAATGCTCAAAACCCATCAGTGGTATCAGAGCCTAGGATTGTTTTCCAATATACTTGATGCTACTTGCTTACAAATGCTTCAAAAATCGAATTTATGTTGTCTAGACAGTGGACTCGCCGAGTCCCTTCACAATTCTGACCAACTCGCCGAGTTAGTTCATGCAGTAGACGAGTTGGTGCTCCAGAGTGTAGATTTTCGAGTTTTAAGGCTGGAATAGGACTAGGATCACTAGCCTAAACTGTTTTTGAACTTATAAACCTAATTTGGATGTGGTAATGATCATGCTAATCCAATTTAAAAGATAATTGTCAAAAGTTTCATGTTTTGTATTAGTTTACATGTTAGGCTAATTACATGAAATTTGTTTTGATTTGAATTGTCTTGTTCATATGAGTTTGATTGAATCTTCTTTAAATTATTTGATTATTGTGTTAGTTAAATAATGTTTTAAATGATTTTAATGGACTCCATAACTTGTCCTCAAGTTATGGATGTTATGGAACATGAAAGTTTTTTCTAATAAAGATGTCATTAAACTCATATGTTATGGACTTGAAGAGTTTTGACAAGTTTCAAAACTTGCCCTCAAGTTTTGGAATTTGTAAAGTCTCACTAAATGAAACTTTAATTCCAAACCTTAGAATTTTAAAAGTTAAAATTCAACCCTTAGACTATTATAATATTATAGGTTTAATATTTATATATATGTATAAGACAAGTCGGTTTTACCATTAGTAGGCCTCATTCACGAAGCTGGTCTATAAGGGGGTATAAGCTTACTGCATATAAAATGACAGTTTAATGGGTGTCCACTCTCACCCACCGCTTCCTTGACTGGTGGAGGGTCGTTAGCCGAACGGGTAGGACAAAGACTATAATTCTCATTAAAAGTATAATGATAGTAATAAAGTAACTAAACCTTTTATAAATTTCCAATCTTAATTATTTTAGGAAAATGTGAATTGATGCTAATCCATGAAATTACACTTTGCACCTTACCAAGTCGTTGATGGAGCGTGTGTGGTTAACCGACACATTAACCTGGACTAGTCAGGGTGGCAAAGGGTAACTTAATGTTTATCATAAGGTCAATGGATCGTGTGTGGTTAACCGGCACATTGATTAAGGTGATAATTGACATTGAGAGTACCAAATATATTTGCATGGTTATTCATACCTTGTTTGTGATCCTCGGTATCCCAGTCACAAACCTGAAGGGCATAAACAAGATTTAAACATGCCGTTGAATTGTTCAATGAATCTCAAAAGATCTAGGAGTTTCAAATCCAATTAAAACTTAATTAACAAATTTCGTTTTCATGGTGGAAATTGGTAAATCATCATTTACCTACCTTCAAATATTTTGAAAGTTGGATTACGACATCCCTCTTCCAAATTGTAAAATATTGTGTTGGGTCCTAGCCTTAATATTTCATTTTGGGTGTTATATTAAGGACTCTTTATCTAATCTAAACTTTGTCTTTCTTTATTTTCAGATGTCTTCCAACACTGCTTCTGGCTCAAACCCTACCGGCTCCTTCTCTCACATGAACCTTTGTAGGAGAGTCATCTTGGATGGGACTAATTTCAATGATTGGATTAGGAACATCAGGATAGTCACTCGCTACGAGGACAAGAAATATGTCCTCGACAAGGAGCTCAAGGAAATCGATGAGTCTGCTACTACTCCTCAGGAGATTGCTGATTTCAGGGCGCATGAGAAAGATGTCACCAAGGTAGCTTGTATCATGCTTGCCACCATATCATCAGATGAGAACCCGACAGATCCCCTCAAGAAGGGACTGAGTAGGGTTAATCACTTACAGCATGCGAGGTGCATTGGGCTGAGGGATGATATTAGTTTTAATGATTAGATACTTGATTCGAAACTTGTAATAGATAGAATGTAATTGAGATTTGAAGCTTAAATAAAAGGTGCTTTTTATTTACTAGTATGGTGCTGTCTCATGTCAATTGTTTACTATTGTTTCATTTAACATATTTTGACTTCTAGAATACTTGGATAATTCAAACCATCCATAGTCGATCGTACTATGGAAGTAGGTATTGAATTAAGACTGTCATGAATTTGACTTGTAGATTGTCAGAAATGGTTAGACATTGCTATGACATCCATGAGTGCTCATAAGGTCTGAGTATTGGATTCAACCCACGCTCACTTGTATCACTTCATGGAATTTATCTTGAGTGATCGTGAGACAATAATATCATATAATCTTCAAACCTAGATATATGAGTTGTTGACTATGATTTGGTCGTACATTGATAGTACGAAAACGCATCGGTAACTCGATGTTATAAAACGTGTTGTTGTGTATGGTTCAGTGAATAGTCAGTACAAGCATATACTGTCAAAGTGTATCTGTTCCTTTTAGTCCTTGGAGGATTAAAAGCGATATTTAGGGCCCCTCGATGATTTTGTTTTGACTTATGTGTCGGTCCCGGTCAGAACTGAATTGATGTGTTCGATTAAGTTCTATGTCAAACAAATCAGAAAATCGGGAAACAAACTGCTGGACAATAAGATTGACTGTGTTCCATGTGTTTGTCTGGCTAATATCTTGAGAACAGAGGATTTTATGATCACTTATATAAAATGGTAAATATAAGTTCGACAAAGGCATTTAAGAGCCACGATTGCTAGCCGGATCCTGAAGTTATACTTACAACTATAGTTATTAGACTTATCCAAGTGGGAGACTGTTGGAATTAATTTTGTGATAAAAAAGAGACTAATCAAATATATAGGGATTAGTTGTATAAATCATTCATTCTTATAAAGTGGGCTAATGATCCATGATTCCTTATGTTGGGCTAAACCCATATGGTGACCCATGGATACTCCATGGAGGTTGAAACCCATGGATCATGAGGAATGTGGAAAGTCATGCACATTAGGGCTTGCATGGTGTAACCCTAATGTAGCCACACTATATAAGAAGCCCTTTGGTTCATGAAATCGGGCCCTAGAGTTCTTGTAAGAGTGCTAGCCGATTTTGAGTGCATATTATCTCCTCTCTAGTTCTTCCATTTGTTGGTGGTGATTTGTGATTCCACTTGAGGCATTCATATTATTGGTGCTAGGCTCTTAAAGCTTCAAGGTTTTAGCTACACCAAAAGGTACGTCATCTAACTAGAATTTTGTAGTATAGTTACACCATTGTATGCTAGTTAGGATGATGCTTTGAAATTTTGAAAGTTTGCGTGTATATTAGAGAAAACATAGATCCAAAGCATCTAGGGTTGCATGTACACCATAGGAGTGTTAGAATGCTCAAAACCCATCATAAACCCGTCGGGAAAAGATTCATTTGTGGTGTATGGGGACAAACATAGAGTGAATTATGGGATCATTTCCCTAATGAAGGCCAGAAAATGTTTGTCCAAACGGTGCACATCATACTTGGCATTTGTGATCGATGCTAAGAAGGAGAAAAAGGAATTGAAAAATATACCAGTGGTGTGTGATT